ATTGACAATATTAGCATTCTATAGACAACATATTTGATATCAACTTGTTACCAAATTACTCAAATTTGCAATTAAACTGTTCTCTTTAACGACAATGCTGTTTTTCACTGTATTACCAATTTACATTTTGTAAATTGCAAAATGATTGTAAATGCTATTATTCAACAATAACGTGCAAAGCAGAATAAAAATTCAGTGAAAAGCATAGAATCTGCTCACTAATGTCATATTGCTGCAGATATTGGCAAACTCTGCCTAATGGTAAATCGATTGTGAAGATTAAGAAAACCTTGCAATCTGCACAGTGTCTGGAGATACTGGAGGTCTGGTCATCAAGCAGTGAACAGCTATTTGCTCTCCTGTTATCACATTACTTCATCATTCAGAGAAAGTTTTATTTGGATATGTAATGGTAGCGTGTGATCTAATATTGCACAGTTTAGTCCAACATTAGATTGGAATGGAATAATAATAATAATAATAATAATAATTATTATTATTATTATTATTATTATTATTATAAATAAATGAATAAAACTTACGTAGCACTTTTAGGACACTCAAAGACGTTTAATCATTTCAGAATAGCATGTTGTGTCTGCAGAGTCGAACATGCATGTAAGGAGACTCTCATTTAGCCTCTCTGAAATACAGAGGACTATTGTTTTATGCCACAAGATGGCGACAAAGCTCCACAATTGAACAGAAAGTCTAACTACGAAAAACTCACTGAAGAAAAGTGAAAACTTTCTAAATGGCAAAGCTTTAGAAATGTTTGTGAAATTTAAAGATGTGGCAATAACTAAGGGACAAACTTTTTTTTTTAATCATGAAGATTTGAGAAAATTAAACTTGAAACTGAAAAATGTTTCTGTACAGTCCAAAAATACAAACATGGGACAGTGGAAACCATCATGGTCAGAATTCTAGAGATTCTGGGTGATTTTAAAAACGCTGCTAGTGTGTAGATTATCTCATCTGCTGTTCTTTTTTTGCTTGTTTGTCTACTAGTATTTATTTCAGTGTATTTTTTAAAACTCAAGAATGTTTAACTGACAATTCAAAGCTTTCAAGTTTTGATGGCCTCAATAGAGTCACAACTATAGCAGAAGCAAAAAGGCAAAATGCTATTGGGTTCTAAAAGTTATACAGGTTTCTTTATGTTTAGATTCAAGTTAAATTGCAAAATATCTGCACAGCTGGATAGATGCTCAGTTATCTTTAGTTAATTGCTAAACATATTCTCTTTTCAGCTTTCCCCTTCGCTCATGATTAGTGACCACTAATCATTTTGTGGTTACAATCATTAGTGACCACAAAATGATTGTAAATGCTATTATTCAACAATAACGTGCAAAGCAGAATAAACATTCAGTGAAAAGCATAGAATCTGCTCACTAATGTCATATTGCTGCTGATATTGGCAAACTCTGCCTAATGGTAAATCGATTGTGAAGATTAAGAAAACCTTGCAATCTGCACAGTGTCTGGAGATACTGGAGGTCTGGTCATCAAGCAGTGAACAGCTATTTGCTCTCCTGTTATCACATTACTTCATCATTCAGAGAAAGTTTTATTTGGATATGTAATGGTAGCGTGTGATCTAATATTGCACAGTTTAGTCCAACATTAGATTGGAATGGAATAATAATAATAATAATAATAATATTCACCCTCACACCAACTAACTCTACCGGTATGATCATCACCCCTCCTCAGTCAAGTGCCTCTGACTTTATTTCAATTCAACGCTGTTTATTTATATAAAGTGAGGTTTTCACATACTTTTTTGATGTGAGTCACGTTATTGTATGAAGCTAAATGTGGTTCGGTTTCATCATTTGGGTTTGAAAAGTAAAAGATTAAGCTCATGTCAATGAATTGGGTTTGTTGTTCCTTGAGTTAAATGACACAGCATTTTTTTTTCTTTTGTGAAAAATAATATATTGTTTTGGGTGAGTTGTGTATTTATGAATTTAACATATGAATTTCACCACTAGATGCCACTGTTGTACCATTTGAGTATTTCTTAAAATATTTTCCAAATCTTTTTTGTTAAAAGAAAAGAACTGTCAGATGGTGTTTTTATATTCCTCAAAGGCTCAATACATGTTAAATGATAAACTACATTTATTAAAAACAATTCTAAGCTTTCCGACCACATTTACCCAATTTTCACTCACAAAGGTTCATACATGTCTTAGAGAGATATAACTGTGTACATAACTGTCTTGGGAATATGTTTTTGAGACAAACAAGACCATGCCTTATGTATATTTTTGAATAGTAGTTAACCCGTTATAAGTACCCATCCATTAAGAAACTGACCTTGAGAAGAGGTCAAGCACCTTCGGTTAACAATGAATCGAAGATGTTATATGTCTCAAATGCCAACTAACTCAATAAACTAAAACGGCAGGACATAAGCCAAAATACTGTACTTTAATACACACACACACACACAAATAGCAAAGACAGGCGACATCACCTAAAGTTTTACCTCTGAGTAAAAAGTTTGGCCCCTTAAACTACAGAGACATTATCTGCTGAAATATGAAGCAGTCATTTTTTAAATGAGTGTTGATTTCTAGATATAGGTGTAGACATAATCTATTGTCTTTCAACTACATATTTACAATGTACATAGTCAGGAAAATTTTTGTTGCAAGGCTCCAATAAAAATAACTAGATTAATTAATTAAAAATTGAAGAGGTTGTTATGCTCCCATCTGGTGTCTCTACCGTGTATTGCAGCTGAAAAGTCTTTGCAAAAACGTTGAGAAGCTGGGATAAGAACAAGAAGCAGTGCAGATGTTATTGAATGACAGTCTTAAACCCTGGCACAAAAATCCATACATTATATATTCCATACATAAATTACTTTTCTTAGGACACATTTGTTTTTTGTTAGACCTTTAATGGGCAATACATTATACATAAATTCTATTAATGCTATGTTGTCACAATGTTTCAGTTTCAGCCATCTTTATCATTTTATAGAACATTTCTCTTGATTTGGTCTCTTGTCAATATTTTAATAACTTCAAATTTAATTCAGTTAAATAAAAAAATACTTTAATGATCCCAAAGGGAAAGAAAATGCCGCTGTAACCCATATTACTTCAAATTCTTAAAAGACTTATTGTAGATGCTGATGGCTGTGGGTAGAAAGAATCTCCTGCAGTCTGGATTACAACGGTTCTGAAGAAGCTTGTGTCTGATGACACTCTGTTTTTCTGAGACAGTCTCATGATGAGGATGGTCAGGGTTTTACCTTCTTTGCATCATCTCCAAAGGTTCAACAGAATCAAACCAGCCTTCTTTATCAGGTTGTTGAGTCTTTTTAGGTCCCTGGTTCTGATGTTGCTGCCCCAACAGATGATGGCAGCAGAGATGACGTTCTAAACAACAGACTGATAGAAAATCTGTAGCATCTTGCTGCACACTCTGAAGGATCTTAGCTTCAACAAGTCCAGTCTGCTCTGTTCCTTTTTATAGATACTTCACTGTTGCGTCTCCAGTCCAGTCTGTTGTCCTGATGAACACCGAGGTATTCATATTCCTCAGCCACCTTCACTTCTTCTCCCATGACGGAAATAGAGTTTGATCCAAGCATGTTCCTCTCGAGTCATCAATCATCTTTGTTTTGTTCACATTCAAGATTCTGAGTATTTCCACACCATGCAGTCCACCAGCTCTCTGAACTCATTGTGTGTAGTATTAGAAAATGGAGTCCCCTTAAAAAATGTAGATAATTATTCATAGCTTGGTAAATCCAGAACTGAGTACTTTAAAGCAGCTGACCAGGAAACTGGAGAGAAAACGGCAATCTACAAATCTAGAAGAGTTCTATTAATCCTGCAAAAATAGTCTACTGCTCTATTCAAAGACCCTTTGCCAAACTAGAACATTGTATTTTTCATCATTAATAGAGAATAATTCTAGGGTTGTTGTTTTTTTTGTCCAATTTCATAAAATACTCAGCAACTGCAAGATTTTTCTTAGTCAATTTAAGTCAGTAGAAATAAACTTGAGATGGCATGTAAATTTTATAGTTGCCGAAAAGGTGGTTCACCCAGGGCGCCAAACAGGCTAGGACCGCCTCTTAATGTAACAACAGAACCTGATGTGTTTGGACTCTTTTGAGTCAGTAGAGCTTTCTGAGTTATCAAAAATAATAGCTTCTTCCAAACCGTCAGCATGCATGCTGGATCCGTCCCAACCAAATTATTTTTTAAAAAGTGTTCCTTTTGATCACTGTCCTGTTTTAGATAAGATTAACTTATCCTTAAACTCAAATAAAATCCAGGGTTTTCCCTGGAAAAAATCTGTTGAGCCCAGTATTTGGGGCGCTATGGCTTCCCACCAGTGGCCCAACGTATTTTTCAGTTAAAAATTTTTAAAAGTTAAAAACATTTGGAGATGGACGAACCGGCATCATAATTTGGAAATAATAGTGTCTGAGGTCAAGGGTCAGATACAGGGCGGTGCAATTGGTGTGCAACCCCTCATGCCCAGTTTGACACATCAACTACAAACCTAGCTTAACTCGTCTTTACCATCACTGTGACTGGTGTATAAAAAACCCAAATCAAAATGAACAAACCGCACTAAGCCTGGTGAAGGGGCATGTAAAGTAGGGGCTTGTTTCAGACCCTAAAACATTTCACTTCATGTTTTCTTTGTTGGAAAAGTAATAAGAAGTAGTCCAACAGCGAGGGCCAAAAATACTGAGACCAAAACACCAGTAGCAACATTTATGTGTTTCAGCTGACAGTCAGGCAGAGACGGAGGAAGTATGGCTCGTTTTGAAGGTTTGACGGGAAAAGACACAGGAAGTAAGGTGTCTGAATCTACCCAAACCAGCAGGGGGTTAATACTTTTAGGCTTCTTATGGTTGCCAAGGAGACCAGAATCTAAAGTTGTATAGAACACCGATGACTACCATCTTCTACATATGAATTTACCGCTGTTATGATCTGTGCAAACAAAAACACACACAAGGCAAACTAGATCCATTATCTCATCTTTTAATAACACATTCATATCTATGCTCTGTTTGTTTACAAGGAATTAAAATAAGTGTTGATGAGGAGTAAAGAAATCATTCAGGCAGAAGGTGAAAGTCCATATACTGTGAAGACCAAAATATCCTATGATAAAAGTGTATATTCATGACTCTGTGACTGCAGCGAATCAAATCCTTTAATTTCCTTTTCAAGGTCAAATCTAATTTTTGATAAGTGTAGATGAATCCAACACAAATCAATAGTGAGACAGCATCACCCTCCTTTCACCAGCATCAACACAGTCAGCTTAGAAAACAGGTCCTTTTGCTTGTTTCAAATGAATCACGAGAAATGAGAATACATCATAGTTTGTGTAAAAGGTCCTTGCAGGGCGCTGAAACTTTTCACAGAGAAAGGAAATGCTAAATGCACCCAAACATAAGAGTTACAATCTGATGTCAGAACAGGGAGAGAAAAATAGGAGTCAACCAAAATGAGACAAAACATGAAGAATTTCAAGATACAAACAAGAAAGTTCATTGAAATAAAAAGGAATAGATGTGAACAGAGTAAAGAAATCTAATATATTTTGAGTTGGTGACGATGAGAATTAGGTTGTTTTTGTCCATTTGATATCCCATCATATATTTCCTTCCAAATCAACTAAAAACAGAGAATGTAAATAAAGTTATCTTTGGAAGAAGTATAGGTTTCTTTTCCTTTAATAGACTATCCACTACAGTATATGGAGACGCCACTACCATGTTATTCATTCATCTATATTTCTTTCGAAAAATTTCTGTCTTTTCTTTTTAAGGGGTGTTATTTTGAATTTTTTTTTTTTCCAACAGAACATAACCTATTTTCTTTTTCCTAAGAGGTAGATTAACAAATTAATTACATGGTTTCTGGTGTCATTCCGGAGATGAATCCCAGAGAGGGGACATGTGGAGAGGGGCTGGAGGAAAACCGTGCCAATTTTGGCTGTTCTCATTTCTAATCTACTGTGTGATTTCAATGGGCCTCCAGCAGTCAGTCTACGAAACACAATCAACACTTAGCTGTGACTGCTTGATGTTAGTCCAGTTAGATTCTCCAGAAGTGCACAGCGCCCCCTGACCTCCGGCACGCACTACTACACAAAATGTGTATATTCTGGATTTTCTGTGCGCGTCTCCTTTAAATTTATTCTTTTCAGTTTTAACTCTACCTGGAGAAGTACAATGTTAAAAACTGAAAAATTGAAATCAACGAGTGACGAATGTAATTGTGCTATAAAATATCGTGTCCTTCTTTCTGCTTGCATGTCTAGCTGTCTGAATACTCACTCCTGTCCATTTCAACCTTCAGAAAATGGACAATCTTCCAGCTGTGTTTGATCTTTCTTATTTTTTTTTTCTTTTGAGGTAGCATTGCTGGTTATGTGTTAAGAGGATCACGTTTCGTTATTTCCAGGTAACAGTGTCCCTCCGCCGTGTTTGTCATTTTCCAGCTCTGGGCCGGGTGTCGGGACGTTTCGCCACATTGGAGTTTTGTCAGTTCCTCCGAGTTCTGTTGGGGCAGACGTTCATGCTGCTCTATAAAGTGCAGCTTTAACGCACTACAACAAACAAGAAGCTTCCAAGTTTGACTTTCCAAGGTTCTACACTTAAAAGGGAAGAATAAAAGGTATTTTTTATTCGTTTTTGTTTTTTGATTTTTTTTTTTCTTTTGTCATTTTGTTTTTGACAATTTATTGTGTACTTTATATTAATGCTGATCATATAACTAACATAGGTAATGTAGGTAATGTTTATATCAGTGTGCTGTCATTACACTGTTATAGTTACAAGATGAATTTTTCACCATAATAAGTAGCATTATTACCCTTGGTGCAGAATCACTCCCTGAAGAGTGTCCACTATATTTTATGGATCTATGACAATGCATGACTGCATCCAGCAACTAATCCAACGTCAGTCTATGAAACACAAACAGGATCAATCAACACTTATTGCTTGATGTTAGTCCAGTTAGGTTCACCAGGAGCCCCCATGCCCCCTGACCTCCGGCACGCAGAAAAGAAAAGCCTTTGTATCAACAAAGGCTTTTCTATTTTCTTCATCAGTTGTTGGTGAGAAAGTTGCTGATTAGCACCAACAGGTAGAGTGGAATTTCTCTGGTAAGGGATTCCTGGGAACTCATTCCCATTGCAGCCAAAGACTACTTAGAATTTCCCAAATAAACATGGCTCCAAAGTATATGCTACAACAATAAAAGTGAAAATATGACTTCTGTTGTTTTCTCCCATTAGACTTGCATAAAAACACCAGATTGGATATTTTAGAGGATATAAAAATGTAAGGCCAGCTTTATGCTACAGAAATGATCAGCAGTAATACAAAGTACTTCAGAAAGGAAAGGGGCAAAACATGCACAAAGTAAAATGAAGATTCAAACAGTATTGAAAAGACTTTAATACATAATGTTAGCATTTGAAATTAATATTGAAGTATTTTTAAAGGTGGCATCACACTAAACTGTCAATCTTATACAACAATAGATCAGTCTGGAATTAGCCCAGAAATGATCCAAAACTAGGAATTAAATGGCCGAGAGCAAATTAGAAGATAGTCCTTCTCACTACATTCTGACCTACAGAGGAGCTGCAGGTAGCACAGCTGGCTTTCAGTTTGATCCTAACAGCTGTTTTCTCTAATGTACAGAATAAAAAAAAATAAAACAACGAAGAGGAGTTCTGTTCCAAGATGAGATTCTACTGTTTCATAGACATAACCTTTCCTTCAGGAACAGCTCAGAGATTATTTGCAGATATTCTCAGTTTGTATTTTTGGACCAAGCCTCTACTGTGGGTTTGGCACAGTTAACATCCTGTACCGATCTACTTGTTAGTACTTCATTATTTTTAGTAGCCATTTTGTTAATAGATGTATGTATTCACGTAGAAGTTAAACTATTTTCAGATTTTCCAACAAAAAAAGTTTAAGCATTGTTTTTTTCTGTGTTTTTTTTAAAGTGGACTAAATAGAAAAATCAACAGGTCTTCAACAGAAGTTAGCAAAACAAACACAATGGAGACCAGCGCAAGATAGGGCAAGGGACCCTGACGTTCCTGTCCGCTCCAAAAATTAAACATTATTCAGAAACTAAAGGAAATCAAATATTTTCTTTCCAAGAATACAAAAGAGAGGAGAAAGACTGAAGGTGTTCATTCCACCTCTACTGTCTGTTGCACTTCATCTTTTTTTTCGCTATGTGGGCTGGGTGTTCTCAGTCATTTTGGTAGTTTGTCATCGTCAGCATATTTCATCAATTAGTGCAACACTATGTTCCTAGATGTTATGTCCAAATAAAGCTTGCTGTATTGTCTAAACTAAATAAAAACAAAATACGTCAAATCTAACCAATCAAAAACCCTGCAGGCTGAATAAGAAACCCCAACTAATGTGTCTTGGCGGTTGTGAACAGAGCTCTATGGTTTGGAAATGACACAGGACAACCATGCCGAGCTGTGAAGTTCGGGCCTCTGGGCAAAAATGGAAGCATAGACATGACAGAAAAGGCTTTTCCCTGTTTGATGCTCAGGTTGCGGGGCAGCCAGCGCAGACCGATAGTCCGCTTCGTTCAGCACTGTGAGGACTTGAAAGGAATTTTACGTTTGTCAGTGTCCTACAATGACTAGCATTATCTTTCTGTTCTCAACTGCTTTCCTTGTTGGGTTTTCTTTCTGAAATTTTCTCCAAAAATACAAAAGAATAACGATCACTGAACAGGTTTTAAGCTTTTTTGCAGCAGTATGGCTGCCATTTGCTCCCATTTTCTCAGAAAGTTTTTAATTCTCTCCATCCTCGATGGGCTTTCCAGGTGGAGGGCCATGGGTTCTCGTCCGACTTTTTTCAGTTTCTTGTGAACCCAACCATATTCCCTGACCAAAAAAAAAGTAAAAAAATTTTAAACTTTGAACACAAACTTGCACATGCCTGCATTCACATACATGCCCATGTAGCCAACAGGGAGCATCATGGTCAGTGCACAGGTAATAAATATTCACATTTAGAGACATCAAAGCCGCCTGCAGTGTAAGCATGAACAGTCGGGCTCTATCTGGACCACAAGTATACAATTGATGGTAAAACCAAGTTCTTAAACTGCTGAGGGAGAAAACACAGCTCCTGCTTAGTGCTTCCTGATGATGTCAATAAGGCACCAGAGGAGGGTCCTTGAGGGTTCAAGGCAGGCACACTGACAAAGACTAGAGGCAGGGACTGGACTGGTCAGGGGGGGTCTGTCTGGAGGAGGACATCCATTCATAACGGTCAGCTAAAGACCCACAAAGTGGTGCGTTTGGTCATCCTTGAGCCTGTTAGGACCCTCCCCTTGAGGTAACACTGCTCCCCATTGGCCAGTTCGCCACTTCAGGCAGTGGCTGCTCCGATCACACTTCAGGTACACAGATGGCGTGTTTTCCCACCAAAAAAAGGCAAACTAGCTCAGCGTTATGTACTGTACCAGCTCTCTGCTTAAAGAGAAAACAGCCTCTTTGTCATCCTGAATTCACTGATCTATCCATCCCCACAAAAAAAAAAAAACAAAACACAGAAAAAAATAACCAAAGCAACAAGACAATACTTTAAAAAAAAATCATTTTTTCTTAAAAAAATAAAAAATATTCAGGACTATTAGCTCTTTTTTTCTATTTATATAAAACACCAGCAAGCGAAAAAAAGTTAGAATACTGAGGTAATTTTACCCTGAGGTAGTTTTTTCTGTTTCATTTCTTCTCTGATCTGTTCTAATCTTGGTAAAAGCATCCATACTCCTGCCCCTCTTTATCATACACAGGCAGGATGTGGAGGCTCCGCCCACAGGCCTGTGGCAGGTTAGGGAGAGGAAACCAGGAAGCTGCTTCCGCTCAACTCACACGTCCTCTACCGAGGTCCAGGTGGGGAGCTGCGGAAGACTTGACTTATTGCTTCCTGTGCCTTCAGAGCAGAAACAGAGACCCTGACCAGGCTGCTTCAGAGCGGTCGCCTAGCAATGAGCAGAGGGTCTCAGACGCTCCTTGTCTGTCTACCATTGCAGGACTTTCAGGTGCAGCAAACCCTCACACCTTACTCACTAGCTACAGTCCTCTCAGCGGGGGCCGGGCTAACTCACATATCATATATATATAATATATAGAAAATATGCCGTTGACGGTGCAGGTGGCGGCCAGCGAGCACGGCTGCTGGGCACTGTGAGCCGACCCCTGCATTAGAACTGCAGGACCAGCTACGACTGCCGCCTCCTTACTGTCTCTTGCTGCATCCTCCCACCAGCAGGGGGCGCCCGGAGACCCCCCTCCCCTCTCGTCTTACTGTAGACTGCGGTATGCTACATCTCAAACAGGGGAGAGGGAAACATAAAGACAATCCCTCCTTTTTTCTTAAAAAAACGTGGTTCAGACGCAGCATTTTAAACAATAACTTGAAGATTATATATTTACAACCTCATATTTTCTTCATTTTTTTTTTCATTCAGCTCCAGCTGCTTTTTAGAGAGCTGTTTAAAGAGCAGTGTTAGCATCTACGGCCCCCCTCCTCAGGACCCCAGAGCTGGCCCACCTGCGCCCGCTGCAGCAGCTTCCAGACTCCCTCTCCCAGCTCCGCCTCACTGCATTCTTATCATAATAGCTCTGAATAAAACATTTCTATACATATATCTCTATGTTAAAAAACGCCCTTAAAATATCAGACTGACTGCAGATGTTTGGAGAGGTGTGTGGAGGAATGAAGCGTCGGAGCGGCTGCACACAGGCTAGTGGAGCTGAGACTCACACAGGTTTCATTAACTACACCAGCTCTCCATCACTTCATGGAGAGAACCGCCTGCCTGTCAATGAAAGCCATCGATCCAAAGTGTGTGTGAGAACTGCAGCGAGCCAGGAGCTTTGTGCAGCCACACCATGGTGCCTGACTCATCCCCCCTTCTCTTCATCGTCTCATCCACACTCAGTCTCTCTTCTGGCCTGGCACTGGGTCTTTGTTTTCAAGTTTCTTTTTATCCCAATCATTTCATCTTTTGATTTAATTAATTTTAGATTTTTCTCACTGAGGATGTTTCTCAGTGGCTGTCAGGCGTACTTCCATCCTGTCTATTGCTGGGTCTGCGTTTTACTCTTCTGTATCCGTTCGTCTGTCCGTCTGCATGTGTCCGTCAGGTGTGTGGGGCGGGGGAGTCCCACAGCAATGTGAGGAGACCCTCACTTCCTGCGTGGCTGGTGGTCCTGAGTCAGGCCCTGTGTGGGGCTCCCCATCTCAGTGAAGCCCTGAGGGTGGGTCCCGGGGCCCATACCCATCCCACCTTTTTGGGACATTTTGACCTGCGTCAGGATGTCTCGGATCTTCCTTTGAGCCAGCTGGAAGACAGGCAGAGGGCCACAGAGTTGATCGGAATTAATCAAAAACTACAAATTAAGCAACATTTTCAATTCAAAACCCCTTTTTGCTGCTCAGTTATTGAATAAATAGTCAAATGAGCCCAGTAACAGAGATATTTATTGTTTTTAAACTGTTATTTAACCATCAGATTGGTGCAGCTTTCCAGTGCTTCAGGAACTACTAAGCAGTCCTTGAACTTGTTTAGAAATGTGGTCAGTTTACGCTGATGTCTCTGCTGCTGCTACATATCGAGATACTGTTTTAGGTTTGAATAGCTTCACTGACATGCTAACTACTTTTAGCATAACTTGAACAGAGCAATAGTCTTGTTTTTGAAGCAAAAATGAACCCCCAGCGGGCCGGGAGGAGCCGGTTTGTCTTCCATTGATGTTGTCTGCAGATGTCGCATGTGCATCAGATTTAAGGGTGAACCAGAAACAAGCAAATATAAAAGGTTCTGACCAGAAGCTTTTTTTTTTTTAATTATTGCATTTAAAATTTTAACTTAAAATCTATTAAATAAATGTATCAAAATGAATGCGTTAAAAGTTCCAGCCCTACTGAGAGCATCATTAAACAAACTGCATCATTTCATCATTTTATTTGTAAAACATATCGAATATCATTTTTCTTCCACCTACACTGTACTGGTCAGTCATATACAATATCATGGAGATGCACTGAAGTTTGTTGTAAATTGGCAGAAGGTGAAACATGAAATGTGATGTGCCTCAGGGAGCATACCTGGCTGGCGTAGAAATGTCCATTAATCTTGACAATAACCTGATCGTTTTCATCAGGTGTCTGCTCTCTAGGGACCACCACCTCAGCTGCTGTCAGGTTCTGCAGCTCATTCACCTGCAAACACAACTCTCAGTTACTTCAAGAATGAGCAACAGTTGAATTCTTGTTTGACGGTAGAACAAACACTCTGGAGCTCAGATGAGGCTCAGATTAGGCCTGGAAACACGAGCTTTCTGCTGCCTACCGTCTTTCCTCCTTTGCCGATGACCCTTCCTGCAGCAGCAGCAGCCATCTTGATGTGAGTTTCCAGTTTCACTTCCTCTTTAGGGCCAAAAAAATTCTCCTCTTTCAGTTTGCCGTAGATTCTTCCCTGAGCCTATGGATAATAGAAAGAAAAGGAGACTAATAATCCTCAACAGGAGACAACCCCAGCAATCTCCTGGCAATATAATCCAGTGCCGAATGGGATTCATGTCAATCAGCCTTTAATGTTCACCTTGAACTGAGCTTCTGGAGGTCCGGTCACAATCACCATCCTCATCTTAGAGTCTGGAGTTTCAGCTGGTGCAATCTGGGGAACAACACAGAAATATATTACTGGCTTCAGGATGTCGGCTGCAGTAGAGGTACTAAAATTATCTTGGTAGAAACTATTACTGACATTTTTTCCAAACCTAAAATATGTCAAAGTTTGTATTTCAGGTACAGCTTAACGTTGCTCAGCCTTGGTGAATAAACCAGACAGCTGCTGCGTTAAGCAGCGTTAACACTGATCCGTCCTGCCAGCAGCTGGTAAACTTTATAACATCACTGCTCCCAACAAACTCAGTTGTTAGTTTGTCTCTGCATTCATTTGCAGTTTTCTCATTTCAGATAACATCCCTGCTGTCATTTGTACATCCCTGTTTTTGCTTCTTGTAAATAGTATTTCTTTATGTAGCTCTTGTACATTTTTCTTTTTTAACTACTATACTTAACTGCACATTTCTTTTAAGCAGAGTAACAATAACTCTACAGCATTATTTTTCTAATATAAATTTGAGCCACATTCTCTTGTTATCTTTATGTGAATATGCATGCTCCCACGCTCCCACTTAACTCAGCTTGCTGCAGTGACACCTGGACTTCCCCACTGCAGGACATTATAGAATATTTCTATTCTTCTCTTCTATCTCCTGTTTAACAAACCTTAATCGAGGCTCCAGCGAAACGGCTCAGCTGTTTGATGTGCTGTCCCTTCTTGCCGATAATAGCCCCCACTGCTTGTGCTGGGATGTACACATGAACAGTCTCCTGCTCTGGGGCCTGCGCACATTGCTCATGCAATTCAATCATTTTAAAACCTTTTGCATAAAGATGCAAACATGCCTTAAAGATTCATGACAAGAAATCTAAAAAATAACATCACCTTTTAAATTCTTTAAATTCTTTTAAATATGATCTTTTAAGCTTTGAAAATCTGATCTTTTATGTAAACATTTGTTTGGTTTATAAAATTCTTCATAACATTGTTGCTCCACCTTTAAAGAAAGTTTGTCTGAGATCCAATAACATGAACGGAGTCAATAGGGCGCCCTCTAGAGGTGAATGCAGCATCAAAAAATACATAGCCCATAGGAAAAATTTGTCTAGGAAGCAGGGGCAAAAAACTGCAGTAGAAAAATAAAACAGCACTTCCAAAAGGGACAACAGCCATAAATAAATACATAAAAGTATTAAAAAAAATAGATTTAATGAATGTGACGAGTCATTGGAATAATTCACCAAACAAGATTACGTGTTCTAGTTGTAAATTTTGGCACATTTGGTAAAAGATTGTATGTCAAATGATCAGATTGCACTCATTATTAATGAAGGCAAAGAAATTGTTATATGGACTGTCATATGGTTTGTAGTTTGGTTTGCTTGGTTTTAGTGAGATCTGAATAATGACTTATCACACATGTATGAAATGAATTACAATTTTCCTTTGTACTTTGACTACATTACCCCAAAGGAGCCGTAGGGGGTTCCTCCAACTGCATTTCCAGGCGGTGGGGGGGGCATGTTGGATGAAGGGGGGAAGAGGCCCAGAGCCCCCAGGTTAAGTCCAGGGATCAGGTGAGTTTGTTGCTGTAGAGAAGAATATCACAGGAACATTTAGAAGGTTGATCTTAGCTGGTTGCCCTGACAACCTTGAAGATACAGTAAAAATCTAGTGTTGTAGATGTTCATTGATCTTTATGAAATATCATCTGCAGTTACTCAATACTGTACTGACCAGGTAACACAAGCCAGGGTACATAATCCAAATACATATAGAAAATGTTTGATGTGTCAGAGTTCTTCTGCTTTGACCTTTTCTCTTTTTACAGAAACATTTTTTTGACATCTGACCCAAGTATGTAAAGGTCATTCCAACCTTTTCATTACACCTGCGCTGCAGATTCTTCACATTATAATTGTTAAAAAAAAGAAGTATAGACATATCCTTTGTGATCTGTCATTCAAAGGATAATATGACTGGAGATAACAGTTCTGATGAGCATATGTGTGCACTTACATTCATCGCTGCAATGTCATTCTCATAGGCCTCTCTGACCTTCTTCATAATTTCGACCTCAGCCTTACAGCAGGCCTCAATGGAGCCTTTGACTGTGATGGTTCTCTCTGGGTTGTACAGGGTCAGGTCCTGCAGACTGCACACATCAACACACCCAGCATGGTTACTCACACACACTGTGCTCATTAAGAATGCAGCGCTTCAGGTTCCTGCTGCGCGAGTTTGTAGGACTGAGAGACAGTTTCACCTAACACAGTAAGACCAGATCACCGATATCGTGAACATGCTTCAACATTGCAAAATGTAAATCTCTGCTCAAAATTACTTAGTGAACTGAAAGGTCAGTAATTATCTCAACTTTGAATAAGCCTGAAGACAGGGTTCTGACTGGACCATACTTCCAAATGTCCTTGTTTATGCGAAGCAAGAAACTCAAAACTCTATTCATAGAAAGAACTGTAAGTGCCAAGCTAAAGCTAATGCAGAGAAAGCTGCTGTATCGTATTCATCAGATAAATGACAAATCAAGCTTGTGGCCTTCAGTCACTTTAGACAGAGCGGGGGGTCAGAGGAGGAAGACTAGTTCAGAAATCAAAGTCCAGACAGCGACATGATGGATGTACCTCCATATGAGACGATAGCTTTACCGCTAAGCGAACAACATAAAAACAGGAACTTTAATTTTAGTTATACAAAAACTTCACTATTTCACAGCTTTCTCATACAAACAGCCCTTACTGGCCAAAAAACAATATTCTCATATGCAGATAAAGAACCATTTGACATAACAGAGAATATTTCCACTACACATTAACAGCTACATTCCTACATTAGACTTCCAGAACTGTCTCAGATTACAACCACAGGCTTCAGTGTTTTTATTAGGCTCTGATGAGATAGGCTGCTGCAGAGTGGACTTGTTAGAGAAACAGAACACCAAGCTCTGTTCATCTTGGTGTGGCCTGTCGACCAAAGCGTTCAGTTCTGGTCCCATCTCATCAGAACACCTTCTGCCACATTCTACCGTTTTCCCAACATGGCTGGTGAGAAACTGTTTGAATGTTGTTTTATAATCTAAACCTCCTTTAAACGTCTTCAGAGGAACCTGAGAGGCCTTCATAGAACAGCTGGATTCCATTTACTAATGAGGGGAATTTTGAAGCCAATTTATTAAATGGTATCAGTGGAGAGCAAGCTGAATATTAATGGATGCAACCGTTTTATTTGAAAAACTAATCAAAAACTAGTATTTTCCTTTGACTTTATACTAGTGTACTACTTAGTGCTGGTCTGTCACGTTAAAGACCAATAAAAATACGGTGAGGTTTGAGGCTGTAGAGTGACGAGACAAAAAAAAATGTTTAAGGAGTGTCAGAACTTATGCAAGACATTCTAAATACTGAAGCTAAAAGTGTTGAGCTGGTCATTGTTAGCATGTCTTACGGTGAGATGGTTATCTTGGTGTCCGTGTCCTGTTCAACTTTTTTCAGGTTGCGTCCCTCCTTCCCAATAAGGCGGCCAACAAAGTTGTTGTGGGCCAGAACCTTGAGAGGAACCTCATCAGCTCTGAAAAGCAAAATCCCTGCTCATTACACTGGGCCTCACGCAGCCTACAGTCTGACATCATGCTCTGCCATGCTGGATCTGTTTGACACGTACGTCTTGGTGTCTTTAGCCTCCTGGTGCATGATCTCCAGGATCATCCTGCAGGCGGCTGAGCAGCCCTCAGGAGTGGAATGGATGCTAATAGGCTTCTCAGCAGCACCCGCGTTCTCTTTGCGGTGAACATCGATCCTGCGGGCAACAGAGTAAGTGTATGGGTATAAATAATTTAAAAGTTGAGATGAATTAATGAATTAATAATCTGTCCCGATATTGAAATAAATAAAATTAGAGATTGAATATCAGTGACAATGTACCTGATCCATAATGTCAGATCTATTCAGTCTAAATCTATGCTTTGTACTGAGCAACGTCATGCTTTATTATTTATTTTAAATTATATTTAAAATTCCTAATTGCACTTTCTGAACCATTTCAAAGTTTTTTCACGTTTGACCATACTGTTTTTGTCAGTTTCAGTTTCTTTATTATTTATTTTACATTGGCTGTTTTACTCATAACTGATTAAACAAATGAAAGTTGTTGTTTTTACATGTTTAGCTAAAATTCTGAATTTATTTCTGTATTTATGTTTGTGTTAAAAAGCAGAAACGTTTCCAGTCAATTCAGCTCTGTTGTTCTGTATCGTATCGGATCATATCAGCCGATATTAAACCTCAGATATCGGTACTAGAAGTGAAAAAAGTGGTATCTCTGTTAATGACCAAATGGTCACTGAAATCATTTGAAACTGAATAAAAAGTAATTAAATAATAATTTTAAAAAACTATTTAAAAACTGAAAGTTAACCAATGAAAATCAGACACTGCTTTTGAATTGTGGTTCAACAGAATCTTTAAAAAAAATGATGCTAATGAAGCAGACGCATCACACAGTGTGTTTCCCTTCCTGCAGGTCCCTCTCTCTTCATGATCACCCACTTGCTCTGCGTCTGCTTGGTGATGTTGCGAATGGTGGCTCCCTCTTTGCCGATGATGGCTCCCACGTACTGCGTGGGGACCAGCAGTCTGAGGGGGATGTCAGCGTGTGGAGGCTTAGGGGGCATTCCGGAGCTAGGGGACCCCCCACGGAGTCCGCCACGGGGCCCGTAACCAGGGCGACGGCCGTTTTCAGTTCCCCGTTGGCCCCCCTCCATGTCAGAGGTCTCGTCAGGGATGTAGGAGACACGCAGGGCGTTGCTCTCTAACTGGTATCCGTTCAGCTTCTGGATGGCTCTGATGGCAAACAGATCAACACCTGACTGCAGATCCATTTAAAGAGGAACAGGTCTGACATTTTAACATAGACGTTTTTCCACTGCCATTTACAAATCTGGTTGCTTTCTATTTCATACAAATTCACAGCAATGCCTATGTGTTACAGTATGATTCAATAAAATATAAAGTGCTAGCAGAAATAATCATTTTTAAAATCTAGGCAAATTTCAGAACACTAAAATTCTTCTCACATATAAAGCTCATAGCGACTGTGTTCCATCAAGTCACAGCAGTCATACAGCGCTCGCCACTTCATGATTCCTTTTGTTTGTATGTTTTTCGGACATAAATGTAGCAGACCAAACAAATGTAAATACTAGTCAAAAATAAAACATATTTATTATATATATAATATTATAATATTATATATTATAAATGAATTATAAATGAATTCTTAAAATCAAATTTATTATGGCTCTGTGTGAAAAACCGATTGCCCCCTAAACCTGAAATCTACTGAGTTGGGCTTACACTGATTTATATAAACCAATACTTTTGCATCGTTTTTGTTTGATATATTTTGGAGTCTGTGCTTCATTCCTTCTCCAGGCACAGCTAACATCTGGTTTACAACATCTGCACCAAAACCCACAGTTGTTTAGTAGTGAGCAAATTCAGAAGAAGACTTGAAAATCATGAATATAGCTGGAGATGAGGTTTAAAGCTAAATTAATATCACTGAAATTTAACTGCAGAACCTGATCCCTCAAAATATGGGTAAAAGTTCAACATAAAAATGGCCACTAGGGGGCAGACACACACCATAAAAATCTGGATTGAACTCTGAAAAAAGTTGTATAAAGGCCTTCTTTGATTTACGGACACACAGGCCTATTAATAAATTGAAACATGAAGCACTTTGATTACCTGATTATGCCAAATTACACAGATCTCCAGATTGTTTCCTTTGGTAATTTATTTTATATGCTGTGCATTTTCAAAAGATTGAATTTAAAAAAATAAATAAAAATTGGAGCAACTTACTGCCTTGCTTGTTCCCGGGATGCATATGTAACGTTAACCACTGCAGTCTCGCTGTCTGTGTTGACTGAAACAAAGCAAACAGGAAATAAACAAAGTTGAGTGAGAATCAGCCTGATGCAGAGCTGCTGTGAGGAACCTGGCTTTACCTGCACCTGAAGTTTTACATGGAAAATCTCAGGAATGATTAAAGGTAGTGAAAAACTTTTCAGCGAGGAACAATTCATACAAGAACAAAACTTAACAATCAGAACCAGTTTATCCTCAACACCTACCAGGCACACATAAACAACAACATCTACAGCTACTATTCAGACACTACAGGAAACTGAAATCACATTACTGCAAAGAGTTTGCTTAATAAACTCGATAAATGATAACCAATCTATCCAGAGCAAACATGACTGGCAGAATGCATGAGATTCCCCCTGGTTAGCCACAAGGCCTTCTCTTCAAGTTAGAAAAGAATCAGTTGTGGAAGGTTTTACTTGAGCTTTTGTGTTTATTTTACTAACTAGTGAATCATTAAATCTTAAACAAAGTGAAATTGCAGGTTTAAGCTTTTAAAGATCACAAACACACAGGGTGTAGTTGGGTAAATACAACCTGACATGTTTACACAGTTTAAAGCAGAGAAGACGACGAAATAAGAACAAACGCCATCCGATGCTGAAGGTAACAGAGCAGAACTGAAACGGTTAATATGAGGCCATTTTCTGAATGAACATATTCAGAGAAAAAATTAAACCAAAAAAATATATATATAATACATGTTACATTTCAGATAATAAAAAATCTTTGTAAATCTGTTCTATCCAATTCTCAAATGGAATGTTTTTTATGTAAAATAAATAAATAAAAACAGCTCCTGTTAACACCTTTTGCTATTGCATTTTAGGCAATAAATTGTTTTCTTACTTAAAGAGGAAGTAAATGATTTATTTGCATTTTTATGTACTTAAAATATTATATAAAATAAGCTTCAACAGTTAAATGAAAAATCTACAGAATGTACCACTATTTTTTTTGGATTAATCAAATAATTGTCAGAAAAATTGAAATAGTAATGGATTACTAAAATAATCATTAGCTGCAGCTCCATGTTAGAGACTCACCTTGTTCACAGTTTTCAACGGTTCCACACTGAGCCAACAGACCATCCAGCACCTGACAACACACACACACATAGAAAAATATCAAGCCAAATGGATAACTGACAAATGTATAAATTTATTTGAAAATTATTAATTCATATTTACAAATTTTTCTCGTCGTCTCAAACTTCTGCCCTTTTCTTGGGCAATTTTTTTTGCCCATAAGCAACTTAAGACTGGCTTCAAACTAACAAACATTTAATTACTCAGGATTTTTACTCTTTAAATGTATGTTTAATTATTTAAAACTTCAATATACTTAAAAAAAATAAAATAAAATCTTTTTCATGAAATAAATAGTTGGGGTACATACATACGTTTGATAGTGAGTGGAGACCTTTTCATATTTTCAGCTTATTTTCTGAAATCAGTTTCTAAAACTTCAGACTTTCTAAAGATCTGGCTCCATAACGGCACAAATATAACAATTAATTTATTTATCAGCCATCAATGAATTTCTTTTCTTCTAAATGAAATATTAATGTGACAGAATAAATTGTTAAATGCTGTAATTAGATAGAAACAAAGAGAAGTCAAAAGAAGTTAATGGAGAATTGTTGGTTATTGAAGGTCCAGAAAAAAAGCTTCTGGTTCTACATAAAAATACTGATGGATTAGTATCAGTATTGTCAAAGATTGTTATTGCTAATCTTTGACATATTCAAGACAATAATCACTATTTATTTTGTGTGAATTAACAACCTTCTCTGGGGGATATCTTTGTGTTTTTTGGCATTGAGCAATAAACATTTAGGTTAAAATCCCAAAGGAATAATTGTTTGGTAGTTTTCACCAAGTCTTCAGCTGTTTAATTTATTTATGAAAAAGTCAGAAAAAAATGTATTATGGTGTAAAAAGTAGAGTTCCTGCTAATATTCATACCACAGGTTTTAGATGTTCAACAACAGGTTAAGCCTGTTGCAATAAGCAATAAATCAATTAATTGCATGATAAATTAAAACAAATGTAATAATTTCAATTTGCATGATTTATTGTTTTTCTCTCTTTTCTCCAAAAACTGGATGATTAAAGTCTTCAGTCTACTGCATTTTATTTCAATTAGATAATTTTTGAAGGACAATTTTGTTTACAGATATTTCATAATTAATTTTATTTTTATTGTTTCCGTTTTGCTTATTTAGGATATTTAATATGTCTTGTTAAATCCAGTATTAAATGTTCATTAGAATTTAAAGTTTACTAATCCTTCTTGCATTATGTCGTTACATTTAGATTACTTGAAAATTGTCTCAAAACAACAACAGTATCGTTAACCGCAGTAACTTCTGGGACAATTTATCATCCAGTAAATCTTGTTATTGTGACTGAAATACAAAAGGTTAAGAACTCTGCCAACAATGCAACAAACATATAACTCAGTATTACTCAGTAATGATTGAGGCAAGTTGTTGTAGTGAGAAAAGCAATATTAGAAATAGCATCACAAACCACTTGTAGCCAGCGATCATCGACAGAATAAATGCAGTCTGACGTGAAACTGACATTTATGACAGGAACGATTCTTATATGAAGACATTTGTAAAGAAAACCCTTCCCGGGGTCCACATCATAAAAATATATATATTTATTACAGAAACAGTTACAAATACTCAACATAACAGTAGTAACACACTGTATTCATTTGCAAAGGCACAATTATAGCACTTTATGTAGTAAAATAACTACATTTTAAAAGAGCTTTTAAAAGCTCAAACAGACAGATGTCCAGCATTCCTGCTGGATGGTGGAAAAGCAAAACAGCCTTTTAAAGAATGTCTTGTATTAAAACTGTGTCAAGTATGGATAAATAAAAGTTGACTATATAAAACATTTGGTATCTTACATACATAAAAATGTATTTTAAAAAAACTGTATAAAAAGGGCAATTTATTTTTAACCAAGGTCCAACGTAATGACTATGCATATTGATAATATTTGTGTATACAGAATAATTCAGTGTAAGATGAGATGCCATACGTTGGACTAATTGCAGTTTGGTTAAATGTTTTTGGACCAAGGCATTTGATTTAAAGATATATGACTAAAACATCTTTTTACAGCAACTAGTTGTCTCCCCATCACTGTAACAGTGCTTCCAACAGAGCGTTTGGACTGGGGGACAAAACTGAGACACCCAAAGAGACACCAACCTCTGCCTGGGGCAGAACATGCAACCTGCATGCAGCAGAGCAAGAAGCAGGGCAGCAGGGTGAATCTGAATGGAAAATGTCTGACACAGGATTCATCTCTGCAGCAAACTGCAAAAAACATGGCTGAGGAGACTTCTGCTTCATAAAGGATGAAAAATTCTGGTTTCAAAAAATGTATAAATCATAAAGGTACTTGATAATATAGAATAGAAGGTTTGTATTTGCTTCTGCATCATATTCAGTTTGGAACTAGTTCATTTCATTTCATTTATCAAACCTATTTTTTATTATTATTTTATTAATTCATTGTTTTTTGTTTTCTTCAACTAAACCAGGAAAAAAAACTTCTGGAATTTAACATCTTTAGATGTGACTCTCTTGGCTGAGCCAGACAGGCTGCAGCCAGACTGGATTCAAACCAGAAGAGCGATAAGATGAGGGCGGTTGGCAGTGTGAGTGCAGAGGTCAGACCCAGTGTGTTTATGACGGAACAAGAACTAACCTCCCACTGCAGGTGAGGCGGAATGTTTCTGATCTGCAGTTTTCTGGTCCTGTGAGCAAAAGAAAAACAGACATGAGAAACCAACAGAGAAGCAACATGATGAGCAGAGAAAAGATGCAAAGTCAAATTAGACTTTAACTGAATAATGTAACATATGTAAACTCTAAATCAAATGTATTTCTGAACACTTCCTCTGTTGGTCTGACAGTGATTCATGCAAAACACCAGCTCTGTGCATGACAACTCAACTCAACCACTATTTCAAATGAAGCGGACTCATCACTGCTGGCCGCTAACTTTAATGGGAGGATCACCAGAACCAATAGCAAGTTGGTGACAGAGCACATACTCCAAGGCCTGTGGTTTTCTTATCAGTCTGTTTTCTTATCCAGCCCATTCTTGAGCTGTTTCCATGGTTTCAGCCTATGGTATAAGCTGTGGGTCAGCAGGTGGTAATGGTAGGGGTCAAACAAGTTCTTTGATGGTGACCAGGGCACTGATGGTCTCCAGTGGCATTGGGGGAGGATGAAGAGTGTTCAGGTGCTGATAAGACCAATTTCCCATGTGCATAGTTTCATTAAATGTGGCAGTGGCTTTGACTCTCTGTGTTTTGTCCAGGTTTGGTGGTAAAGGCCGTCACAGAGCCAAGAATCAAGATGAGGACAGATCTTCCCATTGGAGCTACCAGGTTTCTGAGGGACACAAAGACGATATCCATGGTAACGCCTACTGGGAATTTAGCATTCGGGTGGGGTAGTGTTCTGGTATGAGTGGGGGTGGCCGTTTAAATCTACTGATGCTCAGCTGGGTGCAGGCAGTGATTGTTATGGATGGTAAAGATGGATCATACAACTGATCCATACATTGAAGCTTTTTACAAGAGTGAATGAAAATCACTGAAACAGTTCCAGAGCAACATTACAAACTCCTGCTATGCCATTTCAAATTACTTATTTTAGTTGTTTGTTTAGAAATGTTCATTTAATGGAGGAAACATCTATCTGATATATAACTACAGACTTAGAACCACATTCTTCAGAATCAGGTCCATCTGAACTTACATCTGGAGAGGTGTTATGTGAAGGACGAACAAGATGATGTTAAAAACTGATATCAGTAATTTGAACACATTCATTTTGTTTGAGTAATTACAACTAATTAATTAATTTTAATGTAATTAATCTTTCTTAAAAAAAAAAAACATACAAAAGTCCTGAGCCAGAACCACTGTATTCATGTGTTTTTGGTACGCCCATAAAACTGATGCACAAGTGTGCAACAATTGCGATGGGAAATAAAGCCACTCTGCCTACTGCTGGTTAATTTTGTTTCAAAAAAACAATCTGATGGGACGCTGGAAAAGACCTTTGTTGTGTTCAAGCTGCGAAAAGGAGTTAACCTATCAAGGAAGCTATTCAAGCCTAAAATAGCATCTCAATGCAAAACCAGGTAGAATTGACAATGTCAGCATCCAGAGTCCACATTTTAAAGATCAGGAGTTCCTGAAATACTGGGAACCTTAATGGATGGAACAACACTTTGCTTCAATCTGATGGTAGAAGAACAGATTAAAAACAATAGATATCTTTTTTATTGAGCTAATATGTCTATTTATTCAACAACTTAGCAGCAAAAATGGTTTTTGAATTGAAAATATTTATTTTGTGAATACATTGATCGATTACTATGGGATTAATTTCACTTAATTACAGACTCTGCGATTAACCTGATCAAAATTTTAAATTGAACCCCACAACTAATTAACAGAATAGATTAGAAAGCCTTCATACCCAGACTGATCCAGACTTCAACACTGTCACGCCCTGATCATTAACTCAAAAAGATGGCTCAACTGGAGACCGCAGCTCCAAGGAGGAGCTCCATGAGAGCAAGAGCCCCAATGGTTGCCATGGACGATTGAAGGATTTCTCAAACATAAATGAAAGAATCAACGTAACAGTTCAGGTAAAATAAGACTATGTGTTTTCTTTAGTTGCATTAGGATGTTCCACGAAGTGAGCATGCGTCTTCAGCAGAGTGAAACATTTACGCTCCATGTGTCAGGAGGAGCATTCAGCTCCAGCTTCTCATGACACAAAGAACCGGTGATGAAAAGAACAGAACAGAGGGAGCACAGAGAAGAAAAAATAGAAAAGGCTTTGGTTTAAAGAGGAGTTAAAGGTCAAGGGTCACAGTTCTTAAGACAGGGGTTGGGCAGTGATGGGAGGCCGGGTGTAATAAGACCACTAGAAAGATATGGAAAATCTTTCACCTCTGTCTAAGCCGGAACCAACATCGGTTGGGTGATCAGATCATGAGCATGCAGCAATAAATACAGCTGAGAAAACCGTCAGGATGGTGGAGGACTCTGGGGGGCGGGGCGTATCTGTACCAGTTCACCAGTCCAACAGCAAAGTGTCCTGACACACAACAAAGACCAACCACCCACCCAGAGGTGCTGATTGGACTTTTGAAAGGACTCAGTTTAACTATGTGAGACAATATTTTTCAACTTATTGATGTTCTATTATGGTTGGGACAAAACACTGGAACCAGAACCAATGGAGCCATAAAAATAGTTGTTATTATACAGAGAGAAAACCAAGATCAGCCAATATAAAGCATAATAAACATGTAAAGAAGAGCTGCTGCTCCTCTAACAGCAGCAGCAGAACAACAACATTACGCTCAGCAGAGTTAAAGAGCTGACAGGTCCGACTGTCCAACAACTTTAGGGAGGGCGGGATCTTTCATGATGCTCTGTCTTCCAATTGGATCTGGTAAACACATCTGAAGGGGCCAATAATCTGCAGCCACTGGTCACCCTCTGCATCCCCCCGTTTCTCCACTGCCAGTAACACTCTAAATTGCTGTGCCACACCCCTGCAGGAGGAGTCAGCATGCTAGAACCTGACCACACCTTCTGCCAACACCCTGAAAACAGCTGCTGGGGCTGCTGCAGGCGAAAGGTATTGTCCTGTTTGAGACAGGAATCCCAATTCATCTGAAACTGGTGACTACTTCTACTGGAGATACTGAGCCCATTCTACAGAAGGTTAAAGTACTGAAGAGATAACAAATCGGTTTCTTAAGGTGATATGCGGTGACTCAGACTCATAACTAACTGGAACACAGTTTTACTTTAACAATTAATTTAAAATTAAAGGGTTGCACTATGCATTTCAGAGGATCAGTTTTCATCTGCCAAACCACGACTCTGCATCTGCAGGTCTGGAGTCAAAAGTGGCTCGAGTCCATGACTCACTTCAATTTTCAAATAAAATATTGCACTTCTGGTTTTATTCTTTAGTTCTGTGCCTCCATGAAAAATCCTCCGGCCCCCAGGTAGAATGGTATAAGAGAGGCCCTGGTGCAAATTACATGTCAATACCAGATCTCACCTGGACTGACGACACTGTCTAGACCTGGTGCCAGCACCCAGCTGACCCCGTCACAAGCTGCTTTCAACATGTGTAAAACTGGTATGCCATTTAAGCAAACAAACATGGAATCCCATCATGTCAGGTTATGTCATAGTCATTCATCTGCCAAAACCCAAAACGGATCACCTGTTACATGTGCTGAACTATTTTGTTCAACCCGTTTGCTTGTTTTGTCTGCTTTCCAACCCCTTTTGTCAATTTCTCATCTCAGTCGTTTCTGTTCATTCCTTTTTTTACAGACATCATCAGATTTACAATAATAGCAAAGCTTATGTTTCTGGAAAGAAACAAACATCCCAGTAACAGGCCCTGTGTTACTGGGTGTGTTACCCTGTTACCCTGTGTGCTTCATGAGAAGCTGTTTGATTCAAGACAGCCATCACTCAGAACATTTTCCAGATGTGCTCTTAACTTACAAACATGTATTTATGGCCTGAGTGATCAGATCAGAATGAATAGACGGGCTGGGTCGTGGTTTATAATGTGGCATCCCATAATGCTGCAATTAACACAATAGGATAAACCAGAACAATTTTAGTCCAAATAAACATATCCTTAATATTTGAAGAACACATTAAGCTCACCACTTTTAAGTGTTAAATTAGCCTTTTAGGACCAAATGTAACATTTTATTCCAGGCTGAAACTTCATAGAGGAGTTTGTTCAACACAGTCAACACGCTTCCAGCTCAAACTTTCTCCAAAACACGTCCAGTTGCCCCACCTACCAACAGTAGAGAAACTCCATCAATTTTGAAATAAGAATATTTGTCTGTGTAATCCACCCCGTCGGTTTCCTTACATGACTGTGTGGCGTTCTCATATGTTTCATTCTGAGTTGTAACTCAGTCTGGGCAGGAAAGGTGTTAACATGAGAGTCCACAGAAAGAACCAGGGAGCTCATTCAGACAACATGCCGACAAGTTCATCTACCGTCATTACCACACTAAACAATTAGAACACAGTTTGCTCTCAAATGTCCCCTGGTAGAAAGCAAGAGCTGGGGCCCGACGCAAGAGCACAGAAGTGCAAGGGCTTAATATTTTATAAGAGCTATCTAAGCAGCATAAAAATGAAAGATGAATATTTTATTGCTATAGCTGCAGAGCAAGGAGGCCGAGGAAACTAAACACAGGCTAACATGTATCCTAGCTGTGCTGCCATCTTAACAACCATTCAGTAACACTCCATCTAGTCTAGTCAAAGTAAAAGAAAGCAAATACAGCATCTCAGTTGGTCCTTAGAAGGTTTACAAAATGTGAAAATGGAATACCGGATGTATCACATGCCAAATCAGCATAAATGTAACATATCACACAGATTCCTAAAAAACATACAAAAAATAAACAACTATTCCGCATCGCAAACTTTCAGCGTTGTTCGTATGGCAATGGCAGACAGGAGAAGAATCAACCATGTTCTGCAAGTTCACCGTAAGGCCAGACATTTAACCCGGAGCGCTGCATGGACGCCACATGCCTCGGTAAACGTGTTAAAACATAAAGTTCAGCATAAGACAAAACCAAGGAACAAGCTTGAAACGTTAGAAAGCCTCAGAACAAAACATTAGAGCTTACATTAGTCAGGATTTATCTGGAAAAACTACA